AAAAACCCTCCAATCATACTCTTAATCTCATGGCTGTTAGATGGGAGATGAAGCTGCAGTCTTCAATAGATTTGACAGCATACAGGCAACTGAACAGTCAGATCTCCAAATTCATGCAGTGGGGCTTACGCAACTTCAATACAGCTAGTATTGAAGAAGCGATCGAGCGGAACCAAGGCTAAAAAATTCTTTACCAGAGATCTGTCTGCCAGAAAGAGCCAACAACTCTCAAAGCTGAAGACCGAGTGTGGCAGCATCGTTTTCGGGACACATGAGATTTTGAGTGAGATTGAGAGGTTCTATAGGCAGCTGTACACGTCATCGTTGGAGCCACACGCAAGTGTGAGTAACGACCCACTATTCCAAAGATATACCGGACGTCAGTCTGAGCGAGATTAGAATGGCTCTCCAACACCTTAAAAACAGCAAGGCCCCAGGTGAAGATGGAATTTCAGCAGAGTTTCTGAAAGCGGGTGGAAAACCGGTACTTGAAGTCCTTCAGAAGCTCTTTAATCCCGTCCTCCATGGTGGCACTACTCCGGAGGCGTAGAGCAGAAGTGTGGTGGTATTGGTCTTCAAGAAAGGCAACAACGCTTTCTTGAAGAACTACAGACCGATTTTCCTTCTGAGCCGCGTCTACACGTTGTTTTCGAGAGTCATTACGAATCGTCTCGCACGCAGACTTGACGACTTCCAGCCTCCCGAACAAGCTGGTTTCCGAAACGGCTTTAATACCATGGACCATATACACACCCTTTGGCAAATTGTACAGAAGACAGAAGAGTACAATCTGCTACTTTGCCTTGTGTATATGGACTATGAGAAAGCCTTTGATTCCGTCGAAGTTTATTTTTTTTTTTTTTTTTTTTATAGAATAGGGGGCAAACGAGCATGCGGCTCACCTGATGTTAAGTGACTACCGCCGCCCATGAACAACCGCAACACCAGGGGAATTGCAGATGCGTTGCCGGCCTTTTAGAAAGGTGTAAGCTCTTTTCTTGAAGGTTCCTAAGTCGTATCGGTTCGGAAAATTCGCTGGTGGTAATTGATTCCACAAAGAAGTTGTGCGAGGGAGAAAACTTCTTCTAAATCGCACAGTGGTGGACCGCCAATCATCCAGATGGTATGGATGGTAACGCGAGTTTTGTCGCGACGTGCGATGGTGAAATTGAGCGGCTGGAATTAGTCCGAACAATTCCTCAGAGCACTCCCCGTGATAGATGCGATAAAATACGCAAAGAGATGCAACATCTCTACGCAGTGCCAGTGTATCGAGCCGATCGGAAAGAACTCGGTCGTCGACGAGTTCTTTCCGATCAGTGCTACAGTCCCTTCAGCGGTGTTAAGTTGACTGTCGGTATGTCGAAGTGCTAAAGTGTTTGTACAGTAGGGCTATGATGGCTATCCGAGTACAGAATCAGAGTACGAAACCTATCCAACTGCAGAGAGGTGTAAGATAGTGTGACGTTATATCCCCGAAACTCTTCACCGCTGCATTTGAAGACGTTTACAAGCTATTGGACTGGAAAGGATACGGTATTAACATTAATGGCGAATACATCACTTACCTTCGATTTGCCGACAATATAGTCCTCATGGCAGAATCGCTGGAGGGCCTAAACACTATGCTCAATGACCTCAATAGTGCCTCCCAACGGATAGGTCTCAAGATGATCATGGACAAAACGAAGATCATGTATAATGTCCATGTCACACCTATGCCGGTAGTTGTTGGGAGCACTAAGCTCGAAGTTATTGACGAGTATGTTTACCTAGGACAAATACTCCGACTAGGTAAGGGTAAGTCCAACTTCGATCGAGAGGTCATTCGACGGATTCAACTCGGGTGGACAGCGTTCGGGAAACTACGACACATCTTCTCGTCAGGTATACCTCAAAACCTGAAAACAAGATTGTACAACTAGTGCGTGTTGCCAGTGATGACTTATGGATCTGAGACGTGGTCCTTTACTGTTGACCGTATGAGGACGCTCAAGGTCGCTCAGCGAGCTTTGGAGAGGGCTATGCTCGGAGTTTGTCTGCATGATAAACTTAGAAATGAGGATATCCGCAGTAGAACCAGAGTAACCGACATAGCCCAACGGATTAGTAAACTAAAGTGGCAATGGGCCGGCTATGTAGTTCGAAGAACCGACAACCGATGGGGAAGAAAGGTTCTCGAGTGGCAGCCTTGTACCGGCAGGCGAAGTGTAGGGTGACCCCCCATGGAGTGACGATCGGGTAAGACATGCGGTGAGCCACCTGCATCTATCGACTTTCTCGATGGATGCAGGTGGCTCAGGACCGTGCTTTGTGGCATTCCTTGGATGATAATGATGATGTTGATAATCGTTAATCTCTCATTTGAATTATGTCATACACCATTGTTACCACAAGCGTCGGCCCTTAAAAGAAACTTTACCCGCGACTGTTCGTCACTACTTGCAACAAAATAGTCGAGGCATTGTCTTTTGGCACTATATATCGCAAGGAGGAGAGTTATATGATAATCTTAGTTTTTATAGTTTTGTGATTTATTTTTATTATTTACTCTTAAGTAAATAAATGTTTGTATTAGTATAGTGTATTATTAAAATATCAAACAAAAAGGAGTAAACATATCCATTAATAAGCTCCAAGCTGTATTTAAATCTATTGTGTTAATGCCTGATTGATACGAATGGCTAGGATTATCTTTGTTTATAGTCAAGCGTAGTTCTCGCGTCATTTGTCGCACTGTTTGTGGGATTTTCTACAACCTATTGGCGTTTACAAATGGATATGCGTATTCAATGTGTAATAAATTTAAATAAAAATATTTTTTCTAAAAAATTGGAGGAGAGGGGGAATTTGTCAGTTCGAGTGCATGTTTATTGTATGTATGGTACGCGATATATTATATAAAGTCGAATTTGATGATTATTTTTTGGAATAAAACAAATTTTACGGATTTTATCGCATTTAATTTTAACTTTTTTAATTCCCGATGTTGCGGGCATTTTACAGCACCCAGGATCACGGGGGGGGGGGGGGGATTTATGTAGGTGTTTGACGTATGGATGTCATAATTAACGAAGGCTATCTTCAAATTTTGATTATTAATTTTTGGCCCGATCTACGCAGAACCAGCTTACAGTATCTTGAAGTTTTGCAGTAGTATGTTTGGGTTTGGATTTAATATTATTAATTATGGGATCCCGAGCAGATGGTATCACCCAGCCATCTTGTCATATTGAAATTAGGTTTTTTTTTTATTTCGTCCCAACCATTATATCAAATCTGATATAATGGTTGGGACGATCCTGAACATGTTGACATACTGTAGACTTCATGGAGCGTCGGTGCTTAAGTGCGATGAAATCCATAAAATTTGTTTTATTCCATATATTGCAGGGTTTCCCAACCTTTTTTTAACCAGGGACTACTTTGATTATTTTTGTTGTTCTTAGCAGGGACCACAAAGTGAAAGAAACAACATGTTAATCTAACAATAAATTATAATCACGACTTTTAACATAACTATGTGATAAACTTAGAAGGAGCACTTATTAACAGTATTATTTGTGTATTTATTGTAAAAGCCATTAGGTGACGTACAGTATGGCACTGCCGCGTAACTAGAAAATAATAAATGTGTTTTTTAAAACGATAAGGTAGGTAATACCATATTTAAGCTTTTGCGGACCACTGCTGGTTGAGAATCACTGATATATAGTATTCGCATAAACTTAATAAGTCATTATGATTCTTTTTTTTAACATTTTATACTTTAGGGGTGGTCGTAAATAAATTTTGAGACAATATTCCTCCCCTAAGGTTAGCAAAATAGGGAATGAAATTTTAATGTAACTATTTGAATGACATTGAGATTTTTATATTCTTTAATCCACTCAAAAAGGTAAAAAATAGGTATGCTAGGTACTTAGACATAATGTACAGAAGAATTACAGCACCGACTTCAGAATGTGAAATTTATTATACTATTTCTAACCGACTTCAAAAAAGGAGGACGTTCTCAATTCCAATAATTTTTTTAATGTATGTAACCTTAGAACATTTTTCTAGGTGAATCGATTTTGATGATTCTTTTTTTTATTTGTAAGCTGGTGCTTCTCTTTTCCCACATAAAGTTGATCAAGGTCTGACCAGTAGTATTTGATAATTAATAGAATCAGGCGTAACTTTGCGGAAATCTATTATTATTAAAGTTGGAAAAAAATAATTTGCTAATATCGCTTGATAAAATAAAATGATGTGTCTTACCTAGTTTGAAGAGCACCTCCCGCCCTCCCTCAATTGCGTGCACTATCTCCGTCACCACTAATCCCAGCACCACTACTCCCACCACCACAACCCTAGGAAAGACACACCACTGTCGATAATACGACACGTGTTTTGCCTCTACATGAGGCATCCTCAGATGTAATAGACTCTGTGGTGTCTGACCGCTAAGATAGGTAAGACACATCATTTTATTTTATTAGAATTATTTTTATAAAAGAATATATGCATATGTAATAGAATAGAATAGAATAATTTTTATTCAATATTAATTACAAGTAATTCTTTTTGAAAGTTATTTTTTTTACATTACCATTGATTCGAAAAAAACCTCTATCCTGTGAAGAACCAGCAAGAAACCCAGCTTGATTATTAATAATTTTTACAATATAAATGATTACAAACTATTGATTTGTTTTGATTTATTGAGCGGATATTGGCTAAGTAAATTTTTCAACTTTAATTAAAATAGTTTTTGAGTTGCCCTTAATAATGCGTATTTAATTGACATCAACTACATTGATGATGTTCTCATTTTATTTATATTGAAGTCGGTTCAACAAAATTTTTAATTTTACTTTTTTCAATAGTTATTTTTTTAACTCGGTACTTTACATAAAATTCGGTAGTCCTAACTGTATTTTAAGGAGATTATAAAATCCCTGTAAATAATTTTCAACAGATTAATTTAAAATTAAAAATGATGATTGTGTTTGCAGCCAGCAGCACGAAACTTCGTCGCGACGGTGTTTTGAACTTGTACCCATTTCCTAGGGTCGGCCGTGCGCACCACACTTGGCAGGTGCCGATCAATGATGAGTATTTTGGTATGTTGACATTGCCATACTAGTAATTTAAGCTATCAGTTGACGAAATAGCATTTGCTTCACCCGGTGCGGTACATCCCACCGCTGATCACAATATTTTTTCTTCAATGCTGAGCACGCAACAATTCATTAAAATGTTTGCTCGGTGTGCTCGAAGTGACTTTATCGTTAAATTTACAAATTATAAAATGTCCACTGTTAAACATGCAATATTTGGCATAGTTACCACGCTTGGTATTCGTGAACCGCAATTTTCTTTTTTATCGAAGTAACTTAACTGGTTATTAACATAGTTAACTAAGCCATGATACTCAAATAAACCTAGGTATAAACTTAAAGAAATTCATCTCCTTACTCACCAGCCGTAGAATCTACCGTTGGACATAGGCCTCTCCCTTTGTAGTGAGGATTTTCGGAGGATTTGACGCTGCTTCCAGTTGATATTTTGGGTATTTTACATAAATACATACATGAAATTTCACGCTTGTTAAGGGTAGGCAGAGACTATAGACTTCCATTTGTATTAACAACTCTCTTGCTTCCTACACATTTATATATCTACGCATACATGCTCGTCGGTTAAGGGTACTCCTAATTAGGGTATTATACGTCTGGCGTAAACCAGATGGCTATGCCATACGCACTGTACTAATATTTGGGAAGCGCATCTTGCCGGCTTTTTCCAGTCGCCTCTTACGATACCCACGGACTAAATGGGATGATGGATTCTCTTATACCTCTATGGGTTTCCTTATGATGTTTTTCTTTAGCACCGAGCACATGCTAAATCAGCAATCAACAATTTCATAGGTATCGGGTATGGAACCCGGATCGATTGTATACTGTAAAATTAACAGCGATCACTTACACTCTGTTCTACCACCTACCATTTAAAAAATAATATTAAAATATAAAAATTTTCAGGCTTTGTTTACCTTTAGCATATGAAATTCCACGAATTTATCTTTCGTTTAGGGCCCATTTCCGTGAATTTCCTGAACTGAGCGCTTTAAATTGTTTATATGAATAATTTCCGTGCTTCTTTATTTTTTCGACGCACATACACATCCATTTAGGATGTTAAATGGGAATAAGGGTATCGTTTATACAGTAAACTGTAAAGTTAAAACCTTTGTTCGTCCTACACCTGGGCAGAAGTATCCTCGCATTTCTAAGAGAGTTATGGAGTAATTAATCGGGCTCGCTGCTCCAGTGTTGGCGGACTTCATATTTCATCGGAATGTTTTTAATCTTGAGACATATGCAGGTTTTTTCACGATTTTTTCCTTCATGTCTTTTTTTTCTAACAGTCTAAAATCTCTTTTCGAGAATACCGACGAATGATTCCTAATATAACAGCCAGTGTTCAGCGCGAGTGTGATACGTTTCCAGTCGATTCGACGCTTTAGCGCTGCAACCATTTAACACGCACCATGGAATACTACCATTTCTCGAAATGTTGAGATTTCAAAAAAAAAAGTTAGGATAAACCGAATATAATTCGTAAAATTAGTTTTATTTAAAAAAATATTGTTAGTAACAAGTTGCATCGGAAAACTGTTTATTCAACTTTCACTCCATTATTTTTCTTCCATCCTTCCATATTTAATCGCTTGTTCAAATTTTTAGAATCAGAGCTTGCTTCCAAACGTCAACTCTACGCATTCCCTCGTGTCGGTCGCAGCGATAGCAATAGCGAGCACAGCCCGGAACCGTACCAGCCTCTGAATCGTCTGAACGTTCGCTTGGAAGAGATGCTGTTTGGTCAACCACGAAGCAACCTTAACATGAAGCGCGAAAGTGAAAGCACCAGTGGTGGTATGTGGTTCGGCCCACGAGTAGGCAGATCTTACAAATACGACGGTAAGACAAAGTTTAACATACCGTTTTTTATTTTCATAGGAAATTTTTTACAAAACTTTTTTAGTAATATTTTTTATTAGAAGAAATATATCATCATATTAATATAATAAAAAATTGTGAGCCGTCGCGGGACGTCTAGCAGATGTGAAACATCGAAATGATTTTGTACAAGTAATATACATAAAAGGATAGTTTACGACAGGCAATAAATATGGAGTAATAAAAATTAATTATTAATAATATTTACTCAAAAAAAATGACTGTTTATTTAATAAACATTTATATTCATTAAATACAAAAATTTAGTTCTATAGCATGGCGCCTCTTAGAGTCAAGAGTCGATGTGACCCGCCGCTATAGATGTTTCACCTCAAAACTTCATTAGCGCGTAAACAATCTATAGCTCGACATGAACATCTAGCGCATTACATAGGATTTTCCACAGTCGCCACCTTTGGTAGGTGGGTTGGCGATCAGAGTAATATAACTCACATCTTATCACTTATGGAAGGGCTCATCAACCTTTATGTCATTTTAACCGACTTCAAAAAAAAGAAGGAGAATGTGTTAACACACATTCTCAGATATTTTTTGGGTGAACCGATTTTGATGAAATTTTATTTTAAATTTGAAAGCTGGTGCTTCTCATGTGGTCCCATATAAATTTCATCAAGATCTGGCCATAGTTTTTGAGTTATCCTTAATAATGCGTATTTAATTGACTTCAACTAAATTGATGATGTTCTCATTTTATTTATATTAAAAACGGTTGTACTACATTTTTAATTTTACAACTTCTCTTATGGTGGACTCTTTCGACGCCTACGTGACTAGATTAGATGATGTTTTTTACAATACGGCGGAACACTGCTACAATAATGCTTAAAACCCAGTCAAAAATCTAGTGTGAGACATTGGCTTCCTCGAAGTATGATTGATTCGTTGTAAGCACTATGTTTGGTAAACGAAAAAAGTTGGGGTTGGCTATCACTAACTTTACGATGAATTTGAGTAATACAAGACATTTGAGTTACACGGTAGGGCTACTCGTTTACCGGAAACGAGATATTCCATTTCTAAACGCGGTAGAGCCATGCTGAAGCGATATTTCTGGTATAGTTGTAGCTCGAATGGGTCGGCTCGACCGGGGAAGGACCACGCTCTCACAGAATACCAGCGTAAAATAGCAGCCTAATGCTGCTGTGTTTCGTATGGTGAGTGTAGAGAACCGGAGACCCTTTTTACTGGAAACGAGGCATTCCATCTTAGTCCTCACGAGTGACAACGCATTTGTATTTTGATTCGTAATCGAGGATAGATGTAGATGTCTATGCGCTACAGTTTCAACTTACCATCGGTGCTTTGTATGCTCATTTTTCACTCTTTTTCTATAAAAAAAAACATACGAAGTATAATAAATCTCCGTAAAATTTGTACTAGATTGCGTCACGATTAAAGGAATTTCTGTGAAACATCACAAAATCAATATATCGTTTTCTTTTTACAGATATCAGCAGCCATCAGGAAACAAGTGATCAGGGTGACCCCGAAACAGAAACCGACCTTATTGAACGTAAAAAGAGACAAACGAAACAAGCCTAATTTTATTACACACTTCATAATTGCTGCAATACATATACTCCAAAGTAAATTAAGGACTGACTTAAGTAATGTTGACTTAACCCTAATTGATTGTGTGAAGTAGCAACAATTAATTACAGTCTTCTTTTTAATACTACTTTTTCAAGATACGTAAGAGAAGTACCAACGATTTTAAATTAGATTAATATATTTCTTTCCGAAACAGTTTTCTAATTGTTAAGAGTATGGACCTCGAACTAAAAATTCATGAATCCAATATCGCCATTGTACATTTCTAACAGCATTTCAAACTTACAGAGTAATTAACAAGAATAAAAGTAATTTATTAGTAGTTTAAATAGTAGATTTTTTTAATCAAAGTGTAATTGATGAGTTTTACTGAAAAGACAATTTCTTTTATAATTTCAATGTTACTTTGAACAATTTTACCGATTTTAGGAATAGTAACGTAGTTACACTTGCCCGAACTTTGTATTTGTCAATTCTATGGTTTCATAGCCATTAAAATAGCATTTATATTAATTAAGATGGAACTTTGTCGCCATTTTCGTAATATCTATATTATAATAAGAATTAATATTAAGTTACTTGGTTGGACTAAAATTCAACTAAGCATGTTTTGCCTGAATTATTTCAAAGGCTGCGTGGATCGTATACAATTTCATTTACGATCCAGGAAATAATTTAGACAAAAAATCTATTTATGTTTATTATAACATGTAATTGTTTATTATGCACAAGTTTATTAAAATAAAAATGTTATGCAACTTGACTTTACAAATAATCTTTTATTTTTGATTTACACAAGTAATAAAACAAAAACTTATCAAGTGTCATTGAATGAAATATTTTTTTCCGGAATTTAAAAATTTAAGAAATTTAAAATGAAGCTCGCGTTCAATTTACTTACTATATTTATACATCTTTAACTGAGTCAACTGAGTGCACGTGGAGGGGGGGGGGGGGCATCTCAATACGAAAGTTAGTACTGCCAAGATGTCGAAACGTTGGGTGTATAAATAAATATATAAAAACGAGTAAAAATGTTAAGCATTCATTTGTGTAAGACAGCTATAATCACATCCTCCACAAGTATTTCTATTGGTTATAAATAATTTTTGCGCGTCTGGATGTTTGTCCATGTGCAATTTATAAATGTTTGAACATTCAAACAAAAACAAAGACTGACATCCAGACCGAAATTCGGTCACCGCGAGTCTCAACTGGTATATGTACAAACACAGCTGCACTCTCCATTCCCATCACTCTAATAGTCCGATAGGACGGCAATCCGACTTGACCGGAGAGAGATCAGGCGCAGGACCAACGGCTTTACAACTTACCAAGGCATGGGGTTGAAACACCGCCAACTTTCTGACTCAGCGTTGCTACTGAGAATTTATTGACAGAAAAACCAATAAGTACTTGGCCCGACCTGGGATTTAACCTTGTTTTTATTTTAAAAAAATCGGTGCATTGTCACCTCTGCAAACTTAGAATGTCTTTGAATCTGTAATTAAACGCACTGATGTTTTCCGGCAGATATGTAAGAGGATGGTACTTACCTAGATCAACAGCGTGGCAGCAAAAGAGTTCTAATAAAAGCGAAATCCTAATAAAATCTTACCAGACACAAGTTTGCGCGTTTACCGCTAAAAAGAACCCCTTTGTCGTATTTCCTCAGTTTCAAGGCACTCCCCTCCTTGCCTCAGTCAGTATCGGAATCCTCGGAGTCGACATATGGACTTGACGTGCAGTTTCGTGGTCACTTGGAAGAGAAAGCCAAATTGGCCTCTAAAAAGCTTGGCGTGCTCAGCAGAGCGGGACAGTATTTCATGCCGGCACACCGCCTGCAACTTTACTATGCGCAGGTTCGGCCTCACATGAAATATTGTTCCCATCTCTGTGCAGGGGCTCCCCAGTGCCAGCTCCTACCACTTGACCGCATCCAGGCCAGAGCGGCTCGATCCATTGGCACTGTGAAGAGATGTTGCATCCCTTTGCGTTTTCTTTCGCATTTACCACGAGGAACTTTACTCTGACGAATTGTTCGGTCTAATCCCAGCCGCCAAATTTCACGAAAGCACATCGCGGCAGAACTCCCGTTACCATCCACACCATCTGGATGATTGGCGGTCCAACACTGTGCGATTTAGAAGATGTTTTCTTCCTCACACAACTTCCTTGTGGAATCGATTACCATCAGCGATTTTTCCGGACCGATACGACTTAGGGACCTTCAAGAAAAGAGCCTACTCCTTTTTAAAAGGCCAGCAACGCATCTGCAATTCCCCTGGTGTTGCAGTTGTTCATGGGCGGCGGTAGTCACTTACCATCAGGAGAGCCGCATGCTCCTTTGCCCCCCATCCTATAAAAAAAACCAAGGCCATAAATTTCGAATACGTTAAATTATCAATATACGAACATAGTGTTACGAGCTTGGGGTTCGACATAATTAAAAACTGCCGAGTGAATTACCAAAATTGACTACTTGATTACACAACACTAATTACAACTTAAAATCACACTAATAATAAAACACAGTACGCCGTTATTTCGCTTCGAAGTATTCTCTTGTATCGCCAATTCAATACTGCCTGGTCGTGGTCTATACCGGCCTTATATAGGGCCTCAGATAGTTTCCGGAAACTTCTACTGTAGCGACATCTAGAATGTTCGAGTACATATCGGTCCCGAAATTTCTAGAAAGATCTTGACTCTCCTAATTCTGCTACTCGACACTAGAGGGCGCTAGTGTAACTAGTGTTGCCATGTACAAGACATTAATAGTGGCGCGCAACACTCGTCGAGCATTGTTGGCCCCATAAAAACGCGCCAGTCTATCCACATGGACAATCTTAGGAGTACCTCTTCTAAAATCAGTCAGCACCCGCCAGTTTACCTGCTGCTGCTAGGCGGTGCTGTTAGCCACACTACCCTCTTGAGATCGATCACCTTTTTCTACAGTTCGTTTAGGGCAGCTGGATCGAAGATGGCCTCTTTTCCTACAGCTGTAGCACCTAGGGCTGTATCCTTTATTGCGGTCGTGAACTGTAGCTGCTGAAACCTCCCTGACGCGATGGGAACGATGATCCTCCGAGGCTTCCACCTCCAGTGCATGGGCCAACGCGTCCTTAAGCGTCTCGTGGTGCTCGAGCCTCACAGTAGCTCTGTCTTCAAGGTCGTGGATGCCGTCGATGAATGTCTGCACCAGGTTCCCTACAATGAGCGCAGGTACAGACTGGTATGCCTTCCGAACCAGCTTCTCCACCTCAAGAGCCCACTGCTGCAGGTTTTCGTTACTGCGTTGCACGTGATCTTTCAGCTGCGCACGAAAGACGTGTTCCAGGTGAGCGTCACCATATCTCGACTCCAATGCGTCGAGGAGCTGCTCGTAAGTCACTTCCTTACCGAGAGCTTCCAGAACAGTTAAGGATTGGTCGCATAGGCCTAGGGTGAGAGCAGTCATGGCCTGACTTTTATTCCAGCAGTTCGCCTTCATAACAGCCTCGAACTGGATTTTGTAGGCCGACCAGGAAGAAGTCCCGTCGAACGGCGGCACTTTGAATAATCCACCTAGCGAAGGTGTTGTAGCTACCACAGGAGCTGTAATTCCATCTCCATGTTTGAGGTCGTCCAGCGTTTTCTTCATGTCAGCCATCACGTTGTCAACCCGATTGTACACTTGGTCGATTCGGGTTTCAGCTTCCGACAGGCGGTTGTCATATTGAGCAACCCTATCCTTCAACTCCTTTATCTCTTTCCCGAAGGTAGCGTAAAGGTCCTTCATGAGGAGAATCTGCTCTTCCTTATAGCGTTTGAGCTGCTCTTCCAACCGACGGCCCTGTTCTTCCTGTTGGCGGGCCTGTTCTTCCTGTCCACGCTGCAGCTGCTCTTCCAACCGACTGGCCTGTTGGTCCTGTCGGCGGGCTTGCTCCTGCAGCATCCTCATCAAAGCACCTAAGTCAGGTGCTGCAGATGCAGGAGCTGCTGACGCGCCGGCCTCCGTGGTCGGCAGCTGGCCCTCCGACGTTTGCGGCGACGCATTACCAAATCGTCTCTGGTCCGTCTCCAGCTGGCGTTGACTTCGGGTACGGATACCCTCCATGTCGTCTGCTTTTTGTTCTTTGGTTCGACTGCATATATCCTCATTTCTAAGTTTATCACGCAGAGAAATACGGAGCATAGCCCTCTCCATAGCTCGCTGAACGACATTGAACTTCCTCATATGGGCAGCAGTGAAGGACCACGTCTCAAATCCATAAGTCAGTACTGGAAACACGCACGGATAGAACAATATTGTTTTCAAGTTTTAAGGTATAGGTTGAGAAGATGTATCGTAATTTCACGAACGCTGCCCAGCCGAGTTGAATCCATCGACTGACATTTCTGTCGAAGTTGGACTAACCTAGTCGGATTATTTGTCCCATCTGGGACTCATACTAAACATACTTGTCAACAACTTCGAGCTTAGTGCTCCCAACAACTACCGGCATATTTGTGACATGGACGTTAAACATGAACTTTGTTTTGTTCACGTTCATCTTAAGACCTATCCGTTGGGAGGCACTATTGAGGTCATTGACAATAGCGCTTAGGTCCTCCAGCGATTCTGCCATAAGGACTATATCGTCAGCAAATCGAAGTTGAGTGATGGACTCACCATTGATGTTAATACCGTATCCTTTCCAGTTCAGTGCAGCGGTGAATAATTTCAAGGATACAACGTCACCCTGTCCTACACCTTTCTGCAGCTAGATGGATTTCGTACTCTGATTCTGTACTCGGATAGTCATCGTAGCCTTACTGTACAAACATTTCAGCACTTGGATATACCGACAGTCAACTTGGCGCCGCTGAAGAGACTGTAACACCGCCCAAATTTCGACGGAGTCAAAAGCTTTCTCCCGGTTCACATACGCAAGGCGAGCAGATTGTACTCTTTGGTCTTCTGTACATTTTGCCGAAAAGTATGTATGTGGTCTATGGTTTTAAAGCCT